CGAGCATATTAAGACTCCAGAAAATAATCTTCTGTTTGAATGCCAAGAAAACTTATCTGCGAAATTTGCATACACTTAAAGAAATAGTAATTGTTCACAAACAAGTTCTATTTTTCGATTGTTGAGTGCTTCTATATTCAATTTGATATCTATAGAAAAGCAACATGACACTCAGCGAGCCAAAAACCAAGCCGAACTCGAGCCAGTAAAAGTCGATTTGAGTCGACCTCGGCAATGAACAGAATATTTTATTTGACAAACTTTTATATTTATATTTAAGCATGTTTTCAATCAATATTTATCAATAGATTGTATAATTCAATTTAAAAAAAGAAATCTTCATTTTAGATTTTATTCAGAGAAAAATTCTTTTGGTTTAATATTATTAATCGTTTTAAAACAAATTGGACATGATTGTTGTATCAAACTATAAGCACATATATAACAAAAATAATGTTTACAATCTCCAATTGATTCATGGGGCATAACAATCGATTGTTCACATACAGAACATATATTTGTTTGTTGAAGTTGTTTCATGATTGTTCCCGATAAATATTTTCTCATTAATGTACGTGCCTTTAATGAAGTTATAAAAGGTATTAATGTACCTAATGTTTCATTAAGTGTATGCCAGATTAATTCACGTTTCATATATGAGTAATCAAGTATACGAAGTGATGGAGGATGATTATGAACTGTTTTTAAACGAGATAATCGTTCGAATAAATTAATATATGTACCACCATGAAGAAAAACAAGAAAATTAATAAATACAAGTAATTTATAAATAAATTGAAATGGTAATAAACGACGATAATCAACTAAAAATTTTTCATAGATATAAGAAAAAACAAATGATGATAAATAAAAAAATTTTTGATAACGTGTTAATGGTACTGATGAATATTTAATTTGTAAAAGTTGTTGACCAATTGTTGTTGACTGACGTGATGAAAGAAGTGTGTTATATGATGTTAATAAACGAAGAAATAATTGAAATTCATGTTTAAATGAATGTGTTAAATGTGAATAATAATTACGAAAAAGTGATGAAAACATATCCCAATTATATGAATTAAAATCTTCATCGAGATAATTTGCATCTATTTGAGGTGTTCGAAGCGCTGTCATTTGTTCATCCATTATTATCTAAAATAAATTTACAAAACATTTTAGATTATGTTGTTTCTTCATGATGAAAATTTTGTCAACTAGTAAAATTGTTCATATTGAAAAAAGTTATTTTCGTTACTCCAATTTGTCTTGATCGATTATAGATTATATTGGTAGTTAAAATTAATGAATTTTTAAGGATAATATAAATGTTGAACTCATGTCAAATAAAATTTTAAGTGTGAAACAAATTGTTTGTCATTTTCTATTTATTGATAAATAAGTTTACAATACATTTCGTGTGAATAATACAAATTTTGGGAAAAAAATGATGTATCAAGTTCTGCATGATTTTGTCAGTCAAATTCTAAAACGAACATTTTGTAACTCTTGTCAAATCATTATTAGTTCGATAATATATTCTTTGCTTTTAAAAAATAATTGATAACTTTGATAATTATTAGGTACTGTCAATTTTAAGCAACAAAATATGCCTAACTAAAGAATGAGATCTGTCATTTTTCTTTATTGAATTTTTTCAGCATAGTCGAGCATACATATATTTAATAAACTATCTGGCAAATATTAATCATATAAAATAAAAAGATAGTTAAAATTTCACATTTACTACTTGATTTGACTATTCAATAAAATATTTATTTATTTGCTTTTCTATAATTAGTAACTTGTTCAATGGCTTTTTTTTTAAACAATATCATCTTGTGTAGCATAATAATGTTTAATTGGATTTTAAATGCTCATCTAATTCATAAAATCAATGAAATGCCTCTATAATAAAATAAATAAATTTTAATTTGATTTTTGGTTTATTTTTTCAAACCTATCGGTCGATTAAATTTAACAATCTGTTTGTCGGATATTTTATCAAGATATTTAATTAATCCTTGTAGTAAAATAAGTCATTTTTGATCTTGATGAATTGATGGTACATAAGTATTCATGTTAATAGTAATACACATTAATATAAATTTTGGAAAGAAAAAAATTTGGTTTAGAAGAATGTTTTTCTTTTTCTCATGTACTTGAAATTTAGCACCATTTCGTAGATTCTATTCTCTTAAATTCATCAAGTTCTAGTGTGATAGAATATCATAAGCACGACGTCAAATCTACAAAAAAAGTCTTTTAAATTTTATTTAAACAAGAAAAAAATTAAACTAACTTTAACTTGAAATATCATCATATTCAGCTGCTGTTACTCATTTATTTTTTCCTTGTAAAGCTCTATAGATCTGTTGGTTAAGACGCCAAAGGCTAATAAATAAGAATTCAATGAAGATCAAATTCTTATTGAATATTAGAAAGAATTTTTAGTGCTAGTTTTAATTCAAATGTATAATTGTTCTCTTTAAATTACTAAATTCAAAATAATTGCTAGATTTTATGCAAAAAAAAATGAATAAACTTTATCAACTTGTTTAACTTCTTCGATATCTTGTTTTTGACAAATCAGCATCATATCAACCACAGAATAATTTTTTGATTTCATTCACTAAATTAAACGAAGATTATATTAAAACGAAAGATTTTTGTAAAACTATTGAGTTATCACCATGTCGAACCACAACTATATAAGGAAATAATTATCGAGATTAGTAACGACCTCTATTGATATAGCATTGGTTTTGCTCTTAACAAATCATAATAGAAAAATTTATATATTTTTATTTCTTGCCGCTTTTTAACTTCGACCAGAGAATATTCTTTTCCAATGTCTAATGAAGTAAGAATTAATCTTTTGCTAACAATAAAAAATGTTTTTATTTAATTGTAGACTGAAACAAATACTATACATAAAGATAGTGATACTGTTGAAGAAAAACGTCGCAAGAATGTAATTGATAATCAACATTTTCTTGAAAATCTTAAACTATTTAATGTATTTATTTAGTTTAATTGAATATTTAAAAATTTTCAATTAATTTATACTTTAGGTTCGTGATGATTTAAAATCAGCAGTTAACTCAGTAACAACAACAAATAAATCATCACGAAAGAAATCTAATCGAAAACAAATTATCGATTCGTAAGAATTACATAACGTTCTTTTCAAAGACGTTCAATAAGAAGAAAATTACTCCTAAACAGATATGAAGACAAATCAACTAGATGTTTTCTTTAGTTTTTCTGACTACAAAAAGTCTTCGGTCTAGTTTCTAATGCATGTAGGCATATACCAAACAAGTAGAGCTATTGATACATTCTCTTAGTTTATGCTTCCGAATGCTAGATTTTTGAGAGATTTGACAAGAAGAACAAAGTAATTCTGCCGGAAGTAATGAAAAGATTGTGAGTTTTTAGTAAATTTTAAATATTATCAAATCGTAATAGTCTTGTTCAACAACTATTATTGTCACTAGACGACTTCACTATCATACCTAAAAGATATTGGATTAAATTCAAAGTATTGCTCCAATTAAATGGCATTGAAATTTTGATGAAACAAAAGTTTCAACACATGTTCGCCTGAGATTCCAACTGATGTAATCTTTAATTTCTACTTAGATATAGTCTGTACAAGAGATGTCCACCGCAGCGTGGGAGATGTTTCAAAAATACTATCGAAGCAGTAACAGCTCCTTTTCTTTAGGGCCATTGTAAAACTGAAGGAGTTTGCATCCAATTTGAGTCTCTACAAGTCCTACAGTCAGAATAATGGCGAATGTGATGGATTCAATCTAACTGTGCTAATTCAGCAGAGTAATGGAAAAGATTTCCAAAGCAGCTCTTGAAAATCATTGCAGCAGCGGCAGATTTCCGACCACGATGGACATCTATTATTTGAACGGATCTATCACATTGACTTAAATTGAAACAGATTTATCGATGTTATCTGCTCACTATCACCAAAACTAACGCTTGATGTCAGTGATATGTAGCAATAAATTTCAGTCAATTAAAGACTAGGAAGATCTTCGACGACCGTATTAATGTTTAGTGTGGTAAAAAGAAATGAAAGTTCAATTGTCTGTTCTTCGTTGGCTGTAGTAGAATGACTTAATACTATCTTCTTAACAAAAAAAACTCTTTATGCTCGCTTATAAAACAATATCAAGACAGTAACATGAGGACGGATCCTAAAATTCTTTGTTTCCATTATGCTTTCTATCACAAAATGATCACTCATCTTTTGCAACTAACAGATAGTTCATAAAGAATGAGCCTTTCCGTATTTTCTCAATATCTTCTTTATTTTTCATAGATTCGAACTGAGATTCTTTTTTCTCATAAGATTCAATGTTTATTTATCTACAAAACCATATACAAATGGATGTCATAACGATAAAAATAAAAAAGTTATTGTAGTAATACTATGAATATGCGACATGAACACAATCCAAATATAAAATACAGTTCTCTTGTGTTTATGTATTCTCACGTCAAACTGTGCAGACAAATTATACTATATGTTTTGCGTAGCTTCAACAACTATCTTATTGTTATCTTCAAGAATTTTTATAACGAAATTTTATTTATAAAATAAGCGTTACTTTATCTTCAAAAAAAAACAATGTCTATTTAGCCCTTATTTTACGCAATAAGGTTTCATTGTGAAAATTCTTGAATATAGTAATAAGATAGAGCTTTTGAAGCTGCACAAAATGGATAGGACAACTGTTTTTTGTGTTTGTAAGTTGTTGATATTATATATTCTTAATATTACTATAATAATGTTTTTGCATTTATTTCTATGAGACACATTTGTATATGGTTTTGTAGAGAATCAAATGTTGAATATTTTCAAAAAAGAGTTCAGTCCAAGTCTATGAAATCTAGAGAAAACACAGAGAGCTTCGTTCTTTAGCGGCTACCCGATATTAGATAAAGATCAAATTCGTTATTGAAATAATTTTTCTTTTATCTTAAGATCCGAAATACGTCGAAGTTCTCGAATTCAATCAATGCCTCAAATTAATTATAATAATCAATCAATAATTGATGATAAAGATTTTATCGTATCAACCGACGAAACATCAAATGATGAAGAAGAAGACGATTTAAGTTCTGCTTTTACAAACAAAACCGATAAAGATTGGCAACCATTACATGCAGAAAAAATCTCCATTATGGAAAAAGTACGACCTATTCGTAAGACTACTAAGATAGTTTCTGACAATGTGAAGATATTTATGCCAAATATTGGATTACAAGCATCAAAGGTCGTTTCTAAAACTAATACTCATAAATCTTATGTATCTAAAAAAATGAATGTTGCTATTTCATCATCATCATCAGAAGAAGAAGATTAAATGTTTTATATGATTTTTTTGTTTTTGTTTAAATAAATATGAACACTTGATGTATCTATTGTAGATTTTTAAAAAATGCCTGAAGTATTTATATTCTGTTTTTAATATTGTTTATTAATTTTTATTTTCTCAGCGAAATATTGAAGAAATTCGTCGAAAAAATCTTGAAGAAAATCAACTCTTTCTTAACAAACTTCGTATAAATACTGTAAATGTTTCTTAATCAATCTTTTTACTAATGAGTATTTCTTCTTTATAATTAAGATTCGAAATGATTTTCTTAAATCAGCTCGTACAGTTCTTCATCAAGACGAACCTGAAAAAAAACGTAAAATTCATTATGAAAAGTAAATAAGAAAGACAAAAAAAGACTATTTTCATTTTAGTTTGATTGTTTTTTTTAGAGTTGAACGTTTAACTCGATATGGTTTAAAAGTTCAATCAGGTGAAATTCAACCATTTATTCCTCAATGGCAACAAGAAGCTAATAAGAAAAAAACACGTCATTCTTCAAAATGGACTTTATTTTATAAGAATGTAGCAAATCCTTATCAGCGTACATTTAAACCACGAATTCGAAAATAATTTTCTTGAATATATAATTAGATCTTAGATTTGTATATATTGTGATTACATAGCTTTTCAAATATTTGTCTTTCAGATTATTATATATATGCATATATATAATATTATATTTTACAATGACAAAAGTAAATCAACTACTATTTTGATAAGAGGTGTAAGCCGATGCCTAGATTGGTAACACCTGAAGATCTTTAACTTATTATTTTGTCTTTCGGCGATAGCTCAAGGCTTTTGAGGATTTTCTTAAGAAATTTTGAAATAAAAACAAAATGATCATAGGAAATGTACCGAGAAGAAATTAGGCAAGGAAGGAAGAATACTCCTGCCTTGTAGTGTGGTGTGCTACCTAGCAGGGCTGGGCATTTCCATGGAAACAATTCAATTTGGGACCCCTAAAACTGACCACGTAATTTGTGAATTACCTAGCAATTCACAAATTACGTGGTCAGTTTTAGGGGTCCCAAATTGAATTGTTTCCATGGAAATGCCCAGCCCTGCTACCTAGCGGCAAATTTAATAGTCCGATATCTTCCATACAACCAATAAGAGCTGTAGTACTGTACAGAAGGCCAGTCTGACTCAGAGTTCTTGCGCTTTCCATACATACTAACTAACCTTATACTAGCCACAAGAGCGGATGTGTCACAACGTAGTCAGCATGCTATCGGACGAGTGATCCGAGACAAACAGCCATGAGTGAATTGCCTAGGGTCATTTCATGATTGATGGTACCAAGGTTTGAACATGGTACCGTATTGACATGTGTTCAACTACGCAGATACTCAGCCATGGTGATTCCAAATCAGACAAGGAGACCTTTGTAAAATTATTCTGATTGTCGAAAAACATTAAAACTCTACCGGATGTCCTGGAAGTAATCTACCAAAACCAAAAAAGAACAGAATATATCTAGCATATATTGGACGAATGAGTTCATTTTTTTTTCTTAACGATGGAGGAGACTCTCAGGTCTTTATTCGTGAACAAAAAGTTTAGTAATATCACTGATAATTCTTATCTTTTATGTAAAAGAAAAAATATGGCACTTTCTCGCAAAGATATACAGTAGATTTTAGATTTCTGTAATATTATCCGAATTCTCATGTTCTTAAATTTTTGCAATTTTTAAAATGATTTAGTTGAAATCTTTGAGTTTTCGCTGGTCTATCTGGTTTCACAGAATCTTCTCGGATGTTCTTATACAGAAAATTTCCAAGAAATCTGTGCGAGTTTTTTTACTAATCATTTCAATAAAAACAATTTTCGATTTTCATCAACAAATGACAGTGCTAAGCTCTAAATACCATTAAAAAAAACATCGAAATAGCTCTGGGAATGCTGGAGCAATTTGTCTTTTCCCAGTATTTTGACTCTAACACTTTTTACTTGTTGACGCCAGCAGAAAAATCTTTTTGTCTAAATGACCAGCTGGAACAAAAACGTTCTACAAAATCAGATATACCAAAGCAAAAAAATTCTTAGATTTCTGCGTTTCTTTTGGTTAGCTACTGATGAAAGTATCCTTAAAAAAAAGGACAACTACTTGATGGAAGTAGAGGTAGTGCTAAATTTCAAGTCTATCCATAAGATGATGATTTATGAGTAAAAACTACCGTAGTAATCTTTCTGCATTATCAGGAAAAAAGTTAGCTCACGTCATTGAAATACGATGAAAACATTCCATTATTTTTTCGTAGGTTCTTTCTGGAACAGTTGACAGTACTTTGTTGTGTGTTACTACAGTAATGATGAAGCTGCTAGACCAAAGATGGAACCGATTTGATGAATTGTCGTATTATTCTATCAGCGGATAGTAGTATTTGACGTAGTCAACTTTCACCAAAGCTTTATTACACATCCCCAATGAGATACTAAGAGCAAAAAAATAAATAAGACATACCAGCAACTACTGGTCTGAAATCTCCGCCGGTACTGGTTCTATCTCTATGCTAGAATACTGGAACATTGGTAACGGTAGCAATTCAATCGATCGGCTTACAACTCCAATCTTGATATTTCATGATTATCTTTTTTATTTAAATAGTCTAACGTAATTCGTAAAAGAAATGTTGAAGATATTCGTCGAAAGAATGTTGAAGATAATCAAGTGTTTCTTAAAATGCTTTGTATAACTAATGTAAATTTAACTTCATGAATCCATCGTTTATTAATTTTTGTTTAACATTAAGATTCGAAATGATTTTCTCCATAGTGCTCGTTCCATTCTTCAAAAACAGAAAAATACTAAAATTCCTATTGAACATAAAAAGTAAATTTTCATTTCAATGACACAAAACAAAAACAATTTCTTCGTTTTCTTTTTCTAGAAATGAATATCCAACTCGATATAATTCAAAGATAAAATCCGGTGAAATTTCTCCTCATGTACCTGAATGGCAACGACAAATTCAAAATAAATTATTGAAGAAAGAACGAAAACAACAAGAGAAAGAAATGAAACAACAAGAAAGATTACGGAAACAAGAATTAAAAAAAGAAATGTTTAAATTAAAAAGGAAAAAACATCTTCGTCGTTCAAAATGGACTTTATTTTATAAGAATAATGTCAATCCATATCAACGTATATTTAAACCACGTAATATAAAAAAAGATGAACGAATTCAACAAGAAACTATTGAATCTTCAGAATAAAATCGTTAATGTTAATATTTTCATGTTGTATATATATTTGTTTTTTTTTTTGATACAACGAAAAAAAATAATTAAGATTAGGACCTATTTTTATGTTTCAGATTAATCTTTACTCATTTATCATGTTTTAAAATATACATATGACTAAAGTAATGAAGTGATATTTTCCTAATTGAATAATTATATATTATTTACTAATAGATGATTTCATCTCCTAAACGTAATGTGGAAAATATTCGTCAAAAAAATTTGGAAGATAATCAACTTTTTCTTCAAAGACTTCTCATGAAAAATGTATATTTTCTTTCAATAATATTTCCTCTATTGTTTTCTTTTTCTTTTGATCAAGATTCGAAATGATTTTCTCAATTCAGCTCGTTCAATTCTTCGTAAAGATGGAAGTAGTCATGTTAAGAAAAAACTTCCTCTTCAACAGGAAATGTAAGTTTTTATTTAAAGAAGTACTTCACATGACGGAAAAGCCATTCTAAGTGTTTCGTGAGCTACGACTCTCTATTATCAGTGAAAATAGATTTCGATTAAACTCAAAACAACAAACATAAAGGACATCAAATTGGAGGTCTCTTTCCTCCAGGATTATTAGTATTTGACTTATGTATGTCTGGATTTCGGAGAAAAGAAATCTCCGAAATTACTATAAATTATTACAGAATATACAGAATCAATCAAAGATCAAATATAGAGATTTTCGGAATTTTCTAAGACATGAAAAGCAAGTTTTCAAGGATTTTCGGTAATCACTCATATATCACGAAGAAATTGCTCGTTAATTTCCGAAATAAGAAATATTTACAGAGAAAACTAGCACGCAAATATAAAAAATATTAACAAACAAGCAGTGTATAGAAGGGAAATAACAGTAACTGGCATCACGTTAGAATGAAGTTTTTGCACAACTTTGAAGCATACTAAAACATGAAAAGAAATTTCCGTATTTTCTTTATCGCTTATGTATAATGAGTATCCCATAATTTCTCGCCCTCAACAAAAATTAGTTTATATGTAAACCAAGAATGATCCCTACTCAATTATATCTATACGAGCTTCTAGTACTTAGGATGCTCTTTTAATCGACATAGGATCTGATAACATTATCTCGTTTAACAACAGTGATATAAACAGAAGAAACGTGATAACTAAAATCTCAAAACCGGTCGATATTTTTTTGAGAAGTTTTAATTAACTATGAATTCATCATATGTAATGTAACGCAATTATACAAAACGATACGTAGGATCCAGGTCATGCGGGTGTGACTATCCTCTGTATCCACACTCTAATTATCACGTTTCTTCTGTTTATATCACTATTATTAAAAGAGATAATGCGATTTAAAACATCGTCCTAAGTATTGGAAGCTCATATAGATATAGTTGAGTACGGATCACTCTTCACATATAAACTAATTTTCATTAAGACTGACAGCTGATGGAAGCTTCTTTATAGATTAAGAAATAAATCTATGAACATAGCGAGTTCTACCCCAAAAACTAAGAATTTCCAGAAATTTCCTAGTAGTTACCGAAACTGAAAATTCTCACTGCTTGTAGAGTAGGATTCTTCATTCTATAGGTTAATTTAATCTATATAAATTAAAGGTAAAGAAATTACGGAAATATCTGTAATCTTCTGGTAATTACTGGAAATTTCTCGTGAATTGGCTTGAAATTTCTTTTCATGCTTCAATATTCTTTAAAATTTCTTGAAACATTCATTTTCATGTGATAGTAATTACCGTTATGTCCCTGCTATTCGTTGTACAAAAAAAACGAAATCCATATTTAATCTTTAGAGTCGAATATACAACTCGATATCGTGAAAAATTAAAGTGCGGCAAAATTGGTCCGTTTGTACCTGAATGGCAACGTCATATTGAAGCACAGAAAAAAGCAGCAGAGAAGAAATTATTAGAAAAAGAACGAATGAAATTGGAAAATGAACGAAAAAGACAAGAAAAGGAAATAAAAAAGCAAGAAATATTATTTGAAAAAGAATTGAGAAAAGTCGAAAGAATATTAGAAATCGAAGAAAAACAAAAGATTAGACGTGCCAAACGACTTCGTCATAAACCATCGAAATGGACTGTTTTTTACAAGAATAATATCAATGGTAATCCTTATCAACGTACATTCAAACCACGTCATACAAAACTGGATGAACGAATTCAACAGAATTTATTTTAATTTTTCTAAATTCAATTAGTCAACGATTTGTTATTTTAGATTTGTATATATTTATTTATTTATTATTGTTATAGTCTAGATACTTGTTTTTTTTTCTATGATTTATGTGATAAGAAATGGGACTATTTTACCCTAATAGCAAACTGAAAACCTAATAAAATTATATAATTCGAAATCCATTATTCTTACTCATCATTGGATTCTTATTGATCGAAAAAAAATGAAGATTTCTATATGAAAATCATAGCATACTTCTAGGCAGTGGAACGCTTTGAGTTCAGAGTAAGCTCAAGAATCTTAATAACGTTTCCTGCCGAGATGTTAACAATCGAAAGGAGAAGTGCGAATCATTTTATGCTGTTTACATGAAACAGAGTTAGTGTTTCTTTTTTCCAACTCACATTTTGCACTGTATAAAGTTGGTACAGTTCAGAAAAAATTTACATCTTGTATCAAAAAAACGTGCACTTGAACAAGGACACCAACATTTATCTTGAATTAATTTCGACTCACGAAAGAAGAGTTTTCAATCTGCTTTACTGAAAAATAGAATAATGGTGAAGCATTAATGTTCACATAAAACAAAATGAAAGGAATTCCATTGTGGATTTGCTCATTCTGTTGAAAATGTTTCTCAAGCATGTAAACGTACGACATAAGTTCTTCCACTGAAAAATTGCTTTTGAGTTGAGAGTACGTACGTTATGTAGACCCAAATGAACTATGGATAGTCCTGAAAAGAGTTCGTGCCTTTCGTTTATTGCTATGGAGATACGACACTTTTACGGTATTTTTTTAAATAAATGCTGTGGTAACAGAAAAATCGATTTTTGAATTTCAACTTGAAATTTTGCATACGAACAGGTTTTAACGAGAGTAGTTTATCGCGAATGCTTCAGGTTTTTGATTTGCTTGTACCTTGAAGTAAGAACATCAGATTTGTCAGTTTCTATGAGCAATGTAAAAGACACGCTGTTATCACATATTGTATTGTAAGACAGGAACAACGGCAAAATCTGAAACTACTCTCAAGAAACTATTCTCGTTATGGTCTGTCTCTATGCAAATTTTCAACTCTAAATTTCAAAAATCAGTTTTTCTAGTGTTCCTGGAGGGGAGGACGATGACACTCATGTAAAAAATACCGTAAAAGTGCAGTATATCGCAGCAATAAGCTAAGAGCACGAACTTTCTCCAGGGTACTTATAGCTCATTTGTGTCTACATAATGCACATCGTCTCGACTTAAAACCGATTTTTAAATTCGGAGTCTTCCGTCGTTAACTACTGAAGACAAAGAAAACTTTCAGCAGCTTGTAGTTAATCTAACTCGAGTTGTTCGTACATCTCTTCTTCATTTGTAATAAAGGAGTACTAGTTCAAATTATTAGCAATATAGAACTCAACGTTTCCTCAAGAACGTTTTCTTAGCCTGCTTCTCTATAAAGAAAGTGCTTCTATTTATTGCTGAAAAATTTTGCCTTTTCTTAAAGAATTTCAATGCACTGCATAAATCTGTCAATCTAATGAAATGAGAAACAAATGTTTGAGCCTATCCAAGCCTATGACCATAGTCATCCTTGATGTTATATATGAATGATTTCAAAGTTGAATTTTCTTACAAAAAAAGATGGTTCCATAAATATTTTAATTTTCTAAAAGATAAGATTGACAATAAGTGCTACAAATCAATTTAGAGATTTCATCTTAAAAGAATTCTATTAGTTAAATTAATAAATTTAATTTTTTAATCTATCTATCGATAATAACAAATTTTCAAGTTACATCATTGAAATCTTATTGAGGTGATTTATTATAATATATGAATATATCTATTTATTAATGACATCGAATAACACCTTCTTGAGCACATGTTACAATAAGTCGTCCATTTCTAGTCCATATTCGACCAAAAGTCCAAGCACGATTATTCATATGAATAGGACATTCTAATTCATACAATAACCAATCATCAGCACGTACAAGTACTTTAGATGGAATAGATGGTATATCTGAACTACGTCGAACTGGTTTTGATAAAACATTTTCTTCAATTAAATTATTTTCATTTGTTGTATCAAAAAGAAAATCATCATGAAACCACATTGAATGATCAAGTGATGCTTGCATTCTAATTCGATGATGATAAGGATTAGCAGCATAAGGAAGAAAAGCACTATTTAATAAAACTCGATCACTACAATAAGCAACAGCCGATCGATGTATATGCGAATAATCAGGTAAAGGATCTAATGATTTTATCCAAACAAATTCTCGTGGTGGCCATACAGGTTCCGGTTGAAGTAAATCACGTTGATGACAATATCGTATATCAATACGTGCTGGTATTTCAAGTGCACGTTCAACTAATGGTTTAAGTTCTGGTTTAAGACGTTTATCATCAAGAAGATTTTGGAAATGATCATGCATTGAAAGAAGTTTTTCAGGTGGCGTAAGATCTAAAAAACAACAAAAGAGAATAAATGATTATATCATAGATTTTAATAATGTAAAAAAAAAACAACACTTACCAGCATGAGGCATAGGTAATTGATGTTCCATATTACCTTTTTCTTTACGATGAAAATTCATTGAACATTCAAATACAATACGATTATCTTGTCGAGCTGTTACACTTCGTGTTTCAAATGATTGACCATCACGCAACCGAGTAACTGTATATATAATATCTGATGAATTATCAGCTGCTGTTAAAAAATATGAATGAAGACTATGTAATGGAAAATCTTTTGTAAGTGTTTTTTGTGCTGCATATACTGCTGAACCAATTAGTTGACCACCAAATACACTTGTTCGAGTAGGAAATACGAATAATGAGTCAGCAGGTTGAATAAAAACACCAGTCGAACTTTCAATAACTTTAAGTGTTTCATAAAGAGTTGGTTGCTTTGATGATAAACGACGATGAATAATAATATTGAATATTGAATGATATTTTAAAAGAGAAGATGTAACAAATTTAAAATGGATTGTCATTTATTGCTTTGTTGTAAGTAAAAATATAGTAGAGTTATATTATACTTCGACCATTCTTTTTCTTTCTTCATACGGTAACCTCGAAAGTTACGCACGTGGTAGTTGTTTTTTTCTTTTCCGTTCTTCTGTGTTCTTTTGAAATACATAAAGAAAACAAAAAAAAAGAGCCGACTACATATTCCAGTTAATTTAGTCTTGTAATATCAACACAAACGCTTACGTAGTAGACTTCTTCCGCAACGTCACAATACGGAACGTCTTTCCATTTTATCATTTTTGTCTAATTGATAAACATTATCTAATTCCATCAAAGGGCAAAGGCAGTATACAACTATTAGAGTTTATTTAACCTAGCGATATTACTAATACGTGTCATAATTTTTTCTCGTAGTAGCAAGCATAAAATCGAACTATATATATTGAATCGCGTTTCTTTTGAATCTATCCCATGTAATTTCATCGACAACATAAATTCTTAAATGAAATGTTAATTGCAAAAACCATTTGTTTGAATATACAACAAAGAGAAAATTCAAACTCGGTCAGTTGGATGAGTTTGAATTTTACAACTTACAACAACAAAAATCATAGAAATACTTTGTCATTTTGGATTTGACTTTCTGACAATTTGTAAAAGGAGCTTTTACGTCTATACTTATGATCTTCAATAGAGTAGTTCTATTTAGACAAAAATTCTTCAACTCTAAATAAGATGTCCATGTTTGTTTTATTTCTGCTTTCTGGTGTTTAGCTTATAAAAATAATCGTGTTTCGAAAAAAGAGTCAATTGTCTGTCATGAAAATACAGCATGAATACCCTAAGATGTATTTCAATGTACTTCATTTATAAATATTCGCTTCCGAAAGACAGAAACTTTTCAGCAGTATCGCATTACTGTATTATTTAACTGAACATACAGGGTAGTCCATAAACCATCCTGTAGTCTTCGATTGCAAATAACTTTTGACAGGAACAAGCTAGAGAGCTAGCTGCTAGTTTTGCCGTTTGAAACACTCTCTGTCACTATATGGTCCTATGTATGATTTTCAATAATGTCGGTTGGTATCCGAATTGTCAGTCGATGGACCTCAGAAAAATATTGATAATTCTATGAAGATGATACAGAAGTGTAATTCTAAGAAATGCGCTAGATCTGCGTACTCACAATCCATATTCAAATCCGAAATTTTTATTGTGACCTATTTAAGAATTATAGATGCAACTCTAGTCCGTGAAGGTGTGGAAGTGAATCGTGAGACTGTCAGTTTGATCATCAACTGATATTGTTGAATCATTCATGGAACGATGCAGTGACATGGCCTCTTTCGGATGGTGAAAGTTGCAACATCTATCTTGTTAATATGGTACGAAGCAGAAGAACATTTCTGTAGTCGGTCGCGTACGCATTTGCACTCTATACTTGCGTGTTTTTCGCTGTAATGAAATCTATACTTTGTGTCTTGATGATCTAGAGAACGGCATATCGCTAGAAACTTGACCGAACTTCGCCCGAGAGATCGATATCTCAAGATGATACAAATACTTTTGGATCTTCAATATAAGTTTTTTGTTTATCTTCAGTCAGTTCCGTAACAGGGATCGCGCGATCGAAGTAGGGGAAGTTGAGAGAGGATATTCCCTCTTGGTTTCAAAAATTTTGACGACAGTTTTCTCTCACTTTGGAGAAAATTTCTCGTGAGCTTTCTCCGAGTTTCAGGAAATTAGTATTATATCTTGCACCAATTTGTAGGGATTTAGGCTACATTATTCTCTCATTCCGAATAGGCTATCAGAGCTCTATTTTCTCTAAATTGTGGGAGTTTGTAGACTATCTCTTTAATTTCAAAAGATTTTCGCTATACGTTAATTTTTTTGAAGATTTTATATGTTGGTACTATTTTACTAATGGAATAGCGATTGAAATTACCAAAAAACTTGATTATTTCCTGCAACAGATCGAGATATTTTAAAATATCTGGAATTTTTTGGCAATTTAGTTCCGAGTCAGTCTTCGAATTTCTCAAGTAAACGCATGAGTTTTACAATCCTTATTGATAGATTGCGAACATTTTTCCCTATTTGCGATTATTTCTTGTTCCGCTCCTGAATTCAACTTTGCAGATATTTTTTTCTCCAAATAAAAGAAACCATTCACAACGACAGAAGATGAGTTAGCTTTATTCATGCTTTTTATTCAATAGAATGATGTCTTACACTTACATCGAGTCGCTCGTACCCTCAACAATATTATCGCTCAATAGCAGTCCACTGAATGCTAAAATGATTGGCAGCGGTTTTACTTGCTATTTATGGTGATACGTCATTGTTGTATTTTGAAAAATTTTATTATAAACAAAATGAACAAAACAAATCTTGATTAGAGATTAACATGATAGGTCTAATAAACAATTCACCGTAAAGTTCACACCAATTATTTCACTTGAACATAGATTGCGTTTGAACGAATAGAATCGCTACGTTCTGCTTTCAGTGTCTTTCGACCACGTGTTGTGAAGGTAATATTCACGTGCCCATTAGAGTCTGATATGTATCTATCGACTTTCGCGCCTGAAATTGGTGCGCCTGTGGAACCATCTGTGACACGGAATATTCTCCGCGAGCCACGATAAACAGTTACAGGTCCCGTGAGCTTGAGAAAAAATTGTTTGTTGAACGCATCGAAGGCGAAAAGAACTTCGTCATTGAGTTTGACACGTGTTTGACAGCCTCCAACTTGTGTATAGTGAAAATTAACCAGAAGACCCCAGAATTGTGTGGTTGTTTGTTGTTCTTTGTCGATACGTGTAATAAAGAAGTCATCAAATTGGGTCGAGAACGTGCCGTCCCAAGTGAAATGGCCGCGATCTGCAGCGTCAGCAATAGCACTCGTAGCAGTCGGTCCAGGAGTTGAACTGCTGTTTAAATTCATACCGTCGCAATGGTGTGTCCCACCTGATTCAGTCGTGACATTGCGCCCAACTGTAAAGATTTCTGACTCCTGTATTGAGAAAAAAAACAAAAATACACAATAGAAGAACTTGTTGGAGAAGAACACAACAACATACGTATATAGTATTGATCTGACCTTCGATCCGAATTTTGACAGTCGTACCAGGATCAGCATCCGTAATGAGAGCCAGAATGCAAGGTACGATCAGTAAAATGAATGAAATTTGCATGATCAATATTTCTGTTGTAATGATCTAAAAAAACAAAATAAACATGTGTGCAGATATCTGAACTGCTTCTCGTTATTATGAGACTATGAGCTTGCTCTTTTTGTGTGTGCAGAAAATCGAAAGCAAAAATGTTCTTGTAAATGATGATGCTGTGATCATTTCTAAATACAATATGTATCCCGTTTTTATATTCTCTTCCTTACCCCTTTCACTTCCTCTATACTCTAAAGAGCATTCAATTAATCACAGTATAGATGGTAGAAGTGTCGTTGAGATATCATTAATACTATTCACTACTTTCAACAACGCTGTATAGATATCAATATAGTACAAGCAGGATGAATCCAATTCCACATGTAAACGTGCGCAATACAATTACTTCGCAATATTTTTAACAGTGTCAATAGGCAACATATAATATGTATATTCTTTCTGCAGGTGTGGTAGATTAATCATTCATATTGCAAATGTAAGCATGGTTTCTTTTGCAAAGTTTTAACTAACAGTATTAATCGAACGGAAGAAATAAATGCATGCCTTATTAGTTTGTCATAACTATATGAAAAATCGCATAATGTAAAATCGTGACTAGTAAAGTAAAAGCATTTTTTTAGTATATTTCTGTATCCATATATAAGAGGAAGGAAAAAAATGCACCCCGTGATATTATGTTTTCGAACTTCAGTAATTACTGTATGAGAATCAAAAAGGTATACTCGGTTCTCACAAGAATAAATCAGAATTAACACATATAAGCAAACACAATTTGTTAGCAAGAGTTCTGGTGTTGACAAAAATGAAGCATTCTTGCGCCTCTTAACACCAATATTGTTTATTTTGATCTTTACATTAAAACCCGAAGACGTATTCGACGATGAATCGATCAAATCAACTGACAAACAGATGTTCTGCGAAATTTGAAGAAATTGTTCTCTGATAAGACATTTGGAAATGATACTTATTCTATGACATGATTTAATCTTTGTATTTTTTTAAATATAAAAATAATAAAGTTTATACTATGTGTTTAATACTATCCTATAGGAAAAACTGAAAATTTTAATTTACCATTAGCGAAATTAAAATTTTATGTGTTCTAGAAAAATTTAAAATCTTCCTGAATTATAATTTCGTCTGTAACAGATATATTGTTGCTACTTTTTTGCTGCTTGAAAGTAGTATCTATTTAATGTTGTACAAAGAAATCCTTTGAATTGGTATCGGACAAGTTATGCATGATGAAAATTCATCGAAATATATATATATATATATATGCTGAATCCAAGTTTTGCTTGATTCTATCAAGATATATACTGTTTGAATAAATCTTAAAGTAATATAATATATGAAACCGATTTTCACTTCAAACTCTGAAGAAAATTCAATCAACATGATAATGATAATCATTATTCTTCTTGTTTTTTTTTCTCATTACTTCTCATTATTTTATCGACACTGGTTGATTTCAATTCGCTTCCTCTGTACTAAACATCTCATTCATTTATTTTAGAATACAATTCTCGATAATTTAATTATGAATTTAATGCTTCTCTGAAATTTTTTCTTTTGTTGTTAATAAAGTTATTTCCTAAAGAGAGTGTAAAATAAGTAGAACAGAATTTTCTATGAAAGAAAAATAAATCTAATTCCAAAAATAATTTCATCATCAATATTTTACGGATGCAAATCCTATAATTTATTTTGTACTGAGAAAAATCGTTGATCATCATTCCATTGAGTGGCTTGTTTTTTACTAGTTGACGTTTCATGCAAACTTCTAGTATTCATTTGTGAAAGTGTATCTGGTTTGTATTTATGTATCATCAAACAGATTTACTCATACATTTGAGAAATGATACTTTCTATGAATTGATCTATATATGAACTTGTTTGTCTATTTTTTCTAGTGAAATTTTCAGTCAAATAATTAATTGATTATCTGGTCTTGTTCTATTAAGATTAGATCAATTGAAAGCTGATGAAATTTAAGTTTACTTCTAAACAAGAAAAAGTTATAATTTCTCGGTGAGTTTTTGAATTGTAAAAAAGAACATGGACATGTTATTGATAAGATAGAAAGATTGAAATTTTATTTGATTTTTTTCGTCAAGAAAGAAATCATTTATAATACTTTCTCAATGGTAATAAATTATAAAATTTGCAAAATAGAGTAGAAAAAAGGCGAATTCATCATTACCATGGTATTTGAATATATAACTTTTAGAATTGTTTACATTAGTGCACTTGCATTAATGTTTAATTAGGATAGAAATCAGTACATAATCTGCAAGCGCAATGGTCATAATATTTTTATCAAACTATCGTAAAGAACAAGCTTCGAGTGAACGTATTGATGAAATTATGAAACTGCCCGCAATAGAAGACTACGAATCTTCTGTTATATCTCTTTATTTTTATAATTTTTAATTTAAATTGTTTATTTAAAAAAAACCAAAACGATTTAGAGGATTTAGGAAGTTTTTTCGGAGTATTAACAGCTGAGAAACAATGTTAACCTGAACTTTTCAAGATTTTTCAGCCGAAAACTAGGCATATTTTGATTTAAACATACTAGTTAAACTTCTCATTTTAAAAGAAATTAATGAATCACTTAAAAAGAGTCTTCTTTTGCCGGAATAGGTTTACATATCAAATTGATGAAATTTTGTCAATGTCTTACGCTAATCATAATAGGAAACATTTAGAGAAGATCAATTGTATCTTACATCACAACGATTTTAACTAATTACTACCAATTTATAAAACAAATATACCAAAATTGCCTACTTTAGATCAGCCTGTAATTCTCTAAGCAATTTAATCGTTCTGTTTTTGATTAAAATAGCTGTAGGCGATTAAAAAGAAGAATCTAATTTTATTGCTAACGATTCTTTCGACTAACGAAGGAGCCTCTTCAGCTGCCCCGTTTCGATTTCAATGATTTTTTTTCTTGCCTATAGATGCTGCATAGTACTGTAATGAAAATCCTAAAAGAATTTAGATTCTTATTGATATTTAACTAAGCTATCGAATTTTTAGTCTGTCTATTTTCCAGCCACCTCAGTTTCTCACAAAACTTATATTTTCGATTTTTGATCTGAAATGTTGTACATATAGAGAACTCAACTAGACCAGCTGTCGTAGAGGAATTCACTGGTTTTGAACAAAGTCTCTTCGAAATATGAGACTTCCAAGATAGAGACCGTTTTCCATAGATAATGTATAAAACATGTATTTTTTTGAAAGCGTCATTTCTTGAAGAGACTTTGCTCAAAACTTCTAACGTTTTTTAAGAAAATTAGTCTAATTGAATTCTTTATATGCACAAAGTTTCAGATCAAAATTCAAGTTTTCCGAAAATCTGAGATCCAGAAAATAGATATTAAAAAATTCGATAGCTTAGTCAAATATTAATAAGAGCCAACATCCTCCGCGGATTTTTATTAAAATACTATATAACATCTATAGCCAAAAAGTCATTGAAACTAGAAGGGGGCATCTGAAGAGATTCTTTCGTAAGTATTGATATAAATCACAGTACGTTTTTTCCTCATTGTGGTAATGACAGCAACTCAGTACCAATCATTAAAGTACATTAAGTGCAATTTTGTTCTGTCTCATCTTACGAGTATCATATTTACTTATTAAAGTGGTATCAGTAACGCACATTCTTTAAAACATCATATTCAAATCCGTATATAGTTTCTTTTTTGGCTCCATAATGCTAATTAATTTTTCGTTATTTATTTAAACGTTGAAATAGATCATTTAACTGACAAAGAGTTAATTGTTAATTACTTTACTTAAAAGCCATTTAGCTGCTTATTGTCTAAGAATGATATTTTCTTTCTTTTCATTTAAACCACTAGAGATTAACATATCTGTTTTTTTTATCGTTCTCCCGTGCTCTTTGGATTGTTTCATCACACAGGAACTGAGGAAGGTCAAATTAGTTAATGACATATTGCTTCAAACCTAGACAAAAGCATAGAATAAACTACAAACATTTTATCCATGCAAAGTATCACATATGTTTTTCTATAGTCTTGATATTTATTATTATTATACAAATTGAATTGAAATTTGGATTCTAGTTTTCAATATGCTTTTAAGAAACGACTTCTTTTTTTTTCATGACATCTGCAAGTATTAGACGAAATCGGCTTTTTCTTTTATCTGAAAATTGTTCTCAAAACAAAAAGATGAAAGATTTCTTTTTGACTATTATCCACTTGTTTTTTATAGTATATGTTCGTCCATCTTTTATGTCGGTGTAATGTTTATTCATAAATGCAAATCGTATTATGATTGTACTTAATTATTATGTAAATGGCTTGTTATTATTATGATAAAAAGTTGTCAAATGCAGATTTATGTTTTAACAAATGTACCGCTCATTCTTTTTTTTTCACTCGAGTTTTTTGTAGTGCAATTGATGTTCGAATGTTTATTCAAAGACGATATTTGTAACAAGAAAGATTAATGTTATATTAAAACAATTTATGCTTTGATTCTTATTGCAATATGTGTAACATATTCGTAAATTAATATGAATTTTTGAATAAAAAAAACTCTTGCAAAAGCATTGAAGTTTTCTCATAATATTAAAAAAATGAACTACTTCGGCATTAAAGAATAAGATAAGTTAGCAGATAAATCAATTATTACTTCAAATAAGTTACTAAATATGACAAGACAAAATACAAGAGAAATTGTGACAAGACAATACACATTATGCACAACGGTTGATAGGACTTTAAGCTGTTTTATGTTGTCAAATTTTCAATTCATCAATGACTAAAATATATGTTTACATCCAATGTTAGATTGAAGAGGATACTGGTGTTAAAACTAGAACTAGTCTGTAGATCGATATTGGATTCGGATGCTTGTTGATGAACTAGAGATAACAGTGCCACTTCAATGTTAAGTTTGAATTCATGATGTTACCGACAGTTTAATAGACAAGAATTACTTTGTTAGAAAACTGTCCATAGACGCTCGAATCTTTACTTAATTTATCCATTGATAATTGTATTAATTGAAATGTCATTGATCTCTATCAGCGCATCGATAAGCATCTGAATATAATATTGATCTGCAAACTAGGCTAAGCTTTAACATAAGTTTCTTCTTCAATACGATAGAGAACGCGTTTAACTTTGGATGCAAGATTAGCCTAGGCCGATCCAAGATTGAACGCTAATATATACATTGATATTCTTGCTATGATTCTAACCTATGATTTCATGTTACTTGATGAATATTATTCGAGTTTCTATTAGACACATATTGTAAAATAGAATCGATCAACTATTATAAAAATGATTAATGAAATGGAGAATAACATCTATCAATCAAGTACTCCATTATTTTCTCGATCTCACATTCATTATTTAATTAGGCGTTAAGAATCTAACTTGAATTATTTTTTTCATATAATCTTCTCGAAATAATTATTTTTTTTTCTGATAGGCAAACAAAGTGTCTAATTATATGATAATATATAAATTTAAAAATGTTTTGGAATCTATATTTTTGATTCTATTACATACATTGTGATACTTGAAACAAAGTTCGATCGATTTCTTTTCAATTCTTATGAAATCTTGTTAGTGTAAATGTTCTATTAACAGCTGTTTTAGTACAAAAAAGGACCTATAATAAATCAACTGTCGGTCATACAAAAACGGCTTCATCGATTGTGAAGAATACCAAAACTTTCTAAGCATTCCGGAAGAAATATCCATAATAAAGAGGAATATAATTTCTTTATTAAAAACAACATATTCAAAACACGTAAAGTTAGTCTGATTATTTTCGCATCGGAAATCAATTGCATATTATGCACGATTACATTCCAATATAATATCTACAATCAATTGATTAGAATTCTATTTATATCACTTTGATGCATCAAAAATAAGAACTCCTATATTTGATTATTCACAATTAAAATAATATATATGTATGTCTATGTAGATGGTGAAACATAGACGGTAAAGAAAAACAATAAATAATTACGTTCAGCAATCAATTGTTTTGACTATTGTCATTGAATAAGTTGTGCGTAAATCATTACTTGTTTTTTCGATCGTAATTGAATTAGACTAAAGAGAACGGCTACTAGCACGTCGAGAAATATATACAAATAGAAGACAACTATAGAAAGGAAGAAATAGGAGAAATCTAATCGTTCGACTATGCAGCATAACATTCATTCTTCGTTTCAGTTTTCTCTCTGAGGATGAAACGAGTGTCAACATATTGTTTTGTGAGACTGACGGCTTGCTCTCGAGAAACAACAGCTCTACATCGAGAGATAGATGAGGAAAAAGCCGAGAATATTAAACTGATTTTCATTTCATGCACCATCCTCTCTTCTTCTCTCTCTCTCTTTATGCTATTCTTCTTTTTTGCTTTCGATGATTTATAGATAATCAATGGTGATTAGGAAAAAAGAAAAATACATATATATATATCTATTGAACAAAGTCAATTTAACTATAAACTAATGTCATGAATCGTTACATATCTTCATTTAAAAATTATGTACATGCAAAATTGGATAGTAATTGAAGATTTTTTAATATCTAATGCCGTGTTCTTGGTCTCGTTGTATTGTAAGTCATCAATATATTCATATAAATAAATAATACTTTTCTTTTCTCTTTCTTCCATCATCTTTCGTTTCGTTGCTTCATATTTTCTTTTTTTATTTAGTACTGCTGTTGTTGTTGTCAGTGTTATACAAATATTGGCGCGACGGAGAACGGTGTTAGCAATACTGGTGGAAATAAGTCTACCAGTGGACAATGGGATATTTATTTAGATTCTCAATATGATACATTGACAGGATCTCTTATTATTGCATCAGAAGAAAGTGATACATGTTTCGAATATATCCATCGATCATTTCATATACTCAGTATTAGTAGTAAGTATTTCGATTTTTTTTTTGTTCAATCAAGCAAATAATTGATTTTTTTCGTATTTATTTAGCTCCTATTATTCTTGTCGAAGCAATATTGGTGATAGTCTTTAGTTTAATGTTTGTATTTGGTTGGTATAATTATGTTTTTCTTTTGTTTTAATATCTTTTTGATACATTCAGGATGTAAATATTCTAATGATTGTCCAAAACAACCATTACTTATTATTTATCATCTTATTGGTGGTGGTGTTGGTTCTCTTTTTTGGTTATGGTTAATGTTACGAGCATTACGTCGAAAGCGACAAGAATCTGGTCTTGATGATGATGACGATACTGATTATGATGCACATTTAGAAGATAGCTCTGGTGGTCAAAGACTTAAAGATAATGGAATATGGTTTATGGAATTATTAGCTTTTATTTTTCTTCTTATTTCTTTTTTAATGGGAAATTATTGGACATGGTCAATTTTTTGGCCAGCACAAGATATGACTGAAACTCAACCGATTGATTGGTGTAATCATTCCTTATATATATTTACGTTAGTTTCAATTGGAATTATTTATGTGTTGGCTATATTTGCTATATTATTCATATTTTCATTCATCATTTTTGCAAGATATTGTGCTCGCGTATTGATTAATGAATAAATAAATAATTAAATAAATAAGACTTTTAAATGAACTATTTTAAAGAACCAAAGATTAATTAATTCTTAGAAAGTGAATAATATTATATCGATGTTTTGTTTTTGTAATAATATTTGAATATTAATTAGTCAAAAAAGATGAACTAATATTCTGTTCTCTCGAAGAATATATGTTAAATGTCTTTTGAGATTTGAAAATAGTTTTGAATTATTGATTATATTTAATGTACGAGTGTTCAAGCCAATCGTGACGTGAATGAGAATTTATGTGCTAAAAAAAATGAATGCTATTCAAAAATAATAGGAGTTTTATCTAAGGCTTAATTACTGGAGAACAAAAGAATAAAAAATGTTTTGTTTTGAAAGACAGAGAAATTTATGATTTTTACAGAAAGAGAATATTTACACAATTCATATATGTTAATTAATTAAAGTATAATTATCTAAATCGAAAATATAAAATCGAAAACGAACAATTCGAAATACACTAACAAAAATCTTCGAAATTTTATCTCATAGTCCTTCTTGAGATTTATTTGTAGAAATATTGATTGAATAACTTTTCAACTCACTCTTAGTGAAGACCAGTTCCGAGAGTCGATCAATATTCAAATTCAATAAAACTAATAGTTTTGAAGTATCTTCAAGGCATAATTGTTCTTATTATTGATGGTTAAGTGAAAGAATAATTGCTTCATTTGTCTTTACATTAACTTAGTGATAAATGGAGAAATGTTTCATAGTAGAGCGTAATAAGAGTTTTCCCACGTTGATATAAAATACATGATAGATAAAATCAATCATTTGAGAATTTTATTTTGTATTTCTATGGCAAGCGTTCCATTAGTAATATTATAGATGGTGTTTCTCCCTCATGAAAAGTCTTCGGTCATGTGATATTAAATGTCATCTGGTGAAATATCTACTATAGAAATATCTTTTATTTTGATAGAAGACTTTTTTCTCAATGGAAAAGCATAATCGAAATAATTCTTTGTACTCTGATGATTGCCACAACTGCAATTCTTACAGATGGAGCCACAATACAATTGATAGTTTAATTAAATATCCAGAAAAAAATTTAATTTCTTGATTCATTTGTTTTATCCTTTATTTTAAGATGAATATTTTATTCAACTAACATAAATTCTAATGACATTTTTTTCTTCAACAATAGTAATCCATAATACCGGATAGGTACTCCATGATTTACCATGTATTCTTCCAAAATCTTGTTAAAGTAATTTATAAACAAAACAGTCAAATTTTTATTCTTGTTCACAAACGAATATCATATTCATTTTATTTAATTTATCTTTATTTCAGATCTCGTTAAATTAAGTTTATCGAGTCATCATGAAGTAAGACACAAACAAGATCTTTTATTCTTTCATTTTAATAAATTTTTCTTTAGACTCGAAATTTGCAATTACAGTGGATATAAAATCTATCCTGGTCATGGCAAACGTGTTGTTAAAATTGACGGCAAAGTTTGTTTGAATATGTTTTTTTGTTTTCTTTGTTAAAAAAAAATTAACTTTATTCTTTAGGTACATATTTATTTAAATTCAAAATGTCAACGATCGGCTGATATGCGTCGAAATCCACGTCGTGTTACATGGACTGTTTATTATCGTCGTAAGCATAAGAAAGGCGCTGCTGAACAAGAAGTTAAAAAACGTACACGTCGTAATATTAAATTTCAACGAGCCATCACTGGTGTTACCTGGAACGAGATTCTTGCTAAACGTAATCAACAACCAGAATTTCGAAAGGCTCAACGACAAGATGCTATTAAGTATGATTCAATAGATTTCTTCTAGTTTTTAAAAACTAGTTTTCATATATTTAAATAGTGCTGCAAAACAAGCTAAAAAGGCCAAAACTCTACAAAAGAAAGCTGTACAGTCAGCTGTTCTTAAGGTAAGTTTTTAAAAACATTGTATTTTTAATTATTAATTTTGTTCTATTTTCTAGAGTGGTAAACCAGTGAAAAAACCAGAAAAGATTCAGAAAAATATACCAAAGGCTGGCCCAAAGAAGGGCACACAACGATAAACCAACTACAATTATATATATGTTGCCGCCCCGTTTTTTCTTTTGCTTTGTTTTAGCAAACGTTGCGTGCATTCATTTATTGTATCTCTGTATATCTCATCGAGTTTTTCTTGTTCATCATCATTCAACAACATGAAATAAACAGAGAAGAAAAAGAAGAATATCAATTAAACACTTATATTAATATATAAAAAAAAACAAGAAAAATAAATTTATTAAAAAATTCGATTGATAATTATTCATACTAGATCAGTTTTATTTTTAGAATAAGCAATGAACACAAGAATCGAATTAATGCTCACGCTGGAATTAAAGATGATTCCATGTAATCTCAATAAATCGACAACAGAGCGGAACAGCTAGCGACCTACAGCTAGATACTAACGAGTCCAAAATCTTCAGACCCGAGTCTGAGACTAATCCGATCGACTCTACCTACAGTTTTCAGCAATTGAAAGGAGAGAACTTAAAATGTCTTTTTGTTTGATAGTTTATAAAACAAAATTATTGTAAAAGTCATCATTTTCGCAAATCATTCATGACAATGATGTTTCGTTTCAAGAAAATTTTGATAAAAACGACAGAAAATTTGCTTAAGATAAATACCATTCTATATAGTTTGATCGATTACATGTGTAATTTTGTTTACTCAGCATTGAGACATAAGAATATAATCACTTGAATTGTGCTGTGACCTATAGATGTGAAGAACATGTCAAAATTACACCTAAATGGATCACAGTTTTCATTTAGTTTGTTGAATATTTTGCGAAGATGATGAGCTCTAAAATAGTGTTAGACGAAAAAACTTTCGGAGTCTTTCTCATTCGATTGCTAAAAACCACAGGTCACTAGCTGTTACTATTGTTGAGTTGTTGAGCTTACACCTATCCCTCCTTAATTTTGGCGTGGACATTAGAATCATTACATTAGCATTTCAAGAAAATGAAGAGAAAAGATATTGCTTTTATTTAATAGTTCACCCTACTGTTGTCTAACATGAATATTGAATACTAGAGATTTTAACAAATTGGTAGATATTCGAAAAATGCTACGCATGTATTCCATTATCTAACCAACCCTGTAAAATGATTGAGGATTTATAATCTATATCAGAATTCATTCTTTAAATGCCCCACCCCTTAAAAATTTGATCTTGAGTCAAGTATGTTCAAATCATATATGAAAATTTCAAAATATATCAGGGCTATAGTGGAGAGGCTATAATAAAATTCTCAGCCGTATACTATGACGTTTTCGCGAGATATTAAACAAACAATGATCATATATAGCTCATTTGGCAGCCCAAAATTCTCCCAGTCTTCATCCTATATACTTAATTTTCTTTTTGTTTAAAGAAGCATATCAGGATGCAAGGCATAACAAAGATCTTTACTTTTAAATTCTTATGTTTTAACGAGAGAAAAGCTAAATGTCTCAAAAAAAATTGCTCAAATTATAAAATCACTCTTTTATATAATAGTAACAAGGCTTAATTCAAAAAAGTATCTCTGTATACCCTACATCTTGATATGCTCTTTCAAACAAAAAAACAGCCATTGACTACAATGAAGTTCCTTCGAGAATTCTGGAATGAGCGATCAAAAACAACCATATTTGTTAAGCAGAAAAATGATGAAAATTTTCGAAAAAACTGAGATACCAAATAAAAAAACATGTTATTCATGAAAGATCAAACCTCGAGCTATCTTACCATGCATTTATCTCAGTTTTTATATTGTTGAGGAAAATTGAAGTCTTTTTTAAAGAGAAGGCTTAAGACTTGTTAGATTCGTGATTAGTGTACAGTACACGATTGAATGTTACATGATAAAAGTTTCTCGCGCTTTTTTTCTTAACATTCAAAATCAAAATTTATTCGTTGAAAATTTTACATTGAAATAAAATGGAGAATCGACAGAAGTAATACTGTAATTGCATTAGAACGAATTCTTATCTATGCACATTTCAATATGATAGTGTTATTTTGAACCATTAGTATTTTGTTAATAATAATACTAATAATGTCAATGAAAAAAAAAATGATAGTAGCAGCTTCAGTTAACAATAACTGGTATATAATGAAAATGATTTTCGTTATAAAAGATTTAACATATGCAGTGTTTTTGAAAAAATTCGGTTGAATACTATTTTCAAAATACATGAATATTTGATCTCATGATTGGTTCGAATCATTTGCATTTATCCAGTATAAGAGCCGAGAGGGTGACAAGTCTCCGAAGATTGGATTAGCCGTCTCGGAAGAGAAAATCGAAATAAAACATTGCATCTAGCAAATCAGTTAAAGAAATAGCATTTTTTTAAATATTTTAATCGATCAATTAAATTAGATAACACATATTTAAATTTCAATGGTTTTTCGATATTTTTAAATATTTATCATAAAATAAATAAATCAATACATATAATAAAGTTTCTCTATGCTGTTTATTGTTGATCTCTTTTTTTGGATACAAATAAAGAACAAGAAAAGAAAACTGTCTACGGCAAATACACACTGAATGATTGAAATGGGAGTAAAAAAGAGATAATGTCTCTATTTATTTGGAACTATGTTTAACCAGGTAAAATACCAGGTGATCGTTGATCATGTTTCTTTTGTTCTTCAGCTCTTTCAGCTTCTTTCTTAGCTAAATATTCTGGTGACCATGAACCATATGGACCTGTATATTTTTTAATATCTTCTGGTGACAGTGCTACGTCCTTTTTAATTATTTCTTTGACTTGTTTATCAATAATAGCTTCAAGTTGAGGTTCTAATAAATAAAATAAATAGAATTTTAATACTAAATTCAAAATAATTTACCTTTAAAATCAAGTTTAGGTACTGAAAGAAGATCTTCGGATTCAGCACCATAAGCATGTTTTAATTTATTAAGTGTATTTTCAAGACTTTTTCGTACTTCAGGTGTAGCATCCACAAGACCATCTTTTGTTTGTCTAGAAAAAAAATAGACATCATCAAATACTTATTTTATTTTAATTGATTAAATAATTGACTTTCGTTTTTCATTATATTCACGAATTTTATTGATAAATAATTGTTGAACTGGATCTGTAGCTTGTTGTTTGGGTTGTTGTGCGAGACTTGTACTTAATGATAAATGACGAGCAACAATCAAACCATATGAATTACGTAATTGTGAAGAAACACACCGACACAACATGATAGGATTTCTAAAAAGTATAAGTTTTGTGATTGAGACAAAATTTAAACGAAAAGCAAATTGTTTTGTTTATTGTTGGCATCAGTAAATAAGTTTTTTTTTTCTTCGTTTTTTTTTTCAGAACAAACCAATAGAAATTTTCTTTTCAAAGAGGCCACTAGATACGCGTTTAGTTGATGATAGAAATCAAATTATACATGAATTGACATCTTTTTCTTTTATTCTGTGTTAATCTGTAAGTTTCGTCTATGGAAGAACTTCCGAAACGACATTTTTTTTCAATAGTTACGAGAAAAATATGAGAAATGAGTTATTTTATTGAAACGATCATTAACATGCGAGACAATTAAACAGGAAAAACTAAAGTTATTAATGTATGAATAAAAATAGATGTAAAAGAATATATTGTTGTAATCCTAAAATGATGTTAATAGAGGCAATAATAAGGTGCGTTCCATAAAGAATGGGACACTTTTCTTTTCTTGAGTAGCGGCAAAAATAGTTCACAGACTTTGTTTTTAGCACATCCGATAACGGAAATTTTTCGCTCTATACAACCAAGTTAGTTGTAAATTAATGTAATTCCTTTGTTTTACACAAAAAAAAACATGAAGAGTAAAGACATGCAAAATGTTGTACTAAAATTACATGAGCAAGGAGAGAAAAAAGCCAGAGCTGTAATAATATCCATACGTTGGGTAACGATGAGCTACAAGTCACAATGTCCAGCAAAGCAGATACGCATACATGGATATCGAGTGGAATATCCATCTCGTTACCCAAGTTATGGGTATTATGAGATTCCTCGAAAAAACGCGACTTCAGTACTTTGAAGTACTGAAATCTCGCTTTTTCTCTCTTGACTGCAATACATTTGGAAACAAGTACAGGTCAAAACCAAACAGAAATATTGATTCATTGGGTGAATAACTATTCTCTTCGTATCAAAAATAAAAAATCGACAAGACATTTGGCCAAATAGCATGATGTCTCAATATTAACTATGCAAAGAATAATTAAAAATGGTTTGGATTTTAAATCATATGTCAAACATGTTGCTCCGAAGGTAACGAATGCACAAAAGCAAACAAAGATTCTCTTTTGGTATACGGACTAGAAAAAATGTCACGCAATCTCTATCTATGAAATGTTTATTTTCTAATGAAAAACGATTCCATATTGATGACATATGCAACCATCAAAGTGATAAGATATGAGTTCCAAATCATCAGCAAGTTGATACAAGTGAAAGAATCCATCGGAAAACAAAATTTTCTCATGGTGCTGCGATAGTGTCACTCTTTCTGCTATTATCGAGGAAGGTATGATCAACGTCATATTGATGAAATATTGCCAATCGCATTGCTAGATGGTCAGAAGTCAATGGGAAAAGAGTTTACATTTGAGCAGGATGCAGTACGGTCACATAATGATCTCCACATTCAAATATGGTACGAACATCATTTCTAGAATTTTTGACCAACATTAGAATGACCCTCTAACAGTCTCAATCTTAATTTTCTTGATTACTCGAACTGGAACAACGTAACCAATAAAAAACTTTAATTGATCAAATTTGTGCTGGTGTAAAAAAAATTTGACATGATGTTGTTTGTCGCAGTATTGACTGTTGAACTAAAAAGGTTTATCGTATGTTATAGAACAATTGTAAATATGTTTTGTAAATAAAATACACGCTATTGTAGAGTGCTAAATTGTTTATCGAATGTGGTAAAAGTGAAGTATCTGAACTATGTCTGCACCGTTCATAACAAGGAAATAAAATGTTCCATTCTTTATGGGCCAACTGCT